AATATACAGTTCTGAGGATGGCAATTATTTTCTGAGGATGGCAGAAATAGAAAGTTTACACTTTTACATCTATCTGAAATGTATATTGAGTAAGTTACTATTTTTGAACATGGAAACACGTCATTTCACTTTTTAGATGTTTAAGTCCGTGTTGATAATGTCTGTTTGTTACACGACTTACCATCCTCAGAGATATGTATAGCACTGCCACTATTGATTTAAAATTATATAAATAAAATTATCAAAGAATTTTTATAAAGTGAGTTTTGTTAATTGATTATATCAATTAATCGTCAAAACACAACAAAAACGCCAAATAATAAATAAAATTGATTAATAAATTGAACACATTTCTATTGAGAATTAATATTGTATAAAAAAATAATATAAACATATATTTCTTGTGTATATATGTTTTGAAAAATAAATAAAACCGTTTAAAACAAAAATGATTTTATTTTAAAAATTTGTTTATTTATCAATCGTTGTTTTATCGTTATCCAAAACCTCTCGTTTTGAATTTGCGCAAATACATAAATTGTCATCGCATAGAGTATACGTTATTAATACGTTATTTGCTATCAATTTTTATTGTTTGAAGTATCATGAATTGATTAATAATAAATTGTATTTTTTGTGAAAAAGATTAAAAATTGTTAGATTAATTTGTTTTGTGATTTTGATAAAAAAATCGACTTTTTCGATAATTTAAATGTCTTTTTATTGTTTTCATTTAGACCAGGGTTAGTCTAGTGGTAAATCAAAAAATAGAAATAGATTATTTTTTTGTAAAAATCAACTCCAAGAATCATCTTTCAAAAAATCCATAAATAGCATTTTTAAATAAAATCACGTGTTTCAAAATATACCTTTTTGATCTTAGGCAAAAAAATCTAAATTGAAAGAAATTATGTTTAAGATATTTACCATCCTCAGAAAAATTAACAATCCTCATGAATCCCTCTAGTATCAAACAAACCAAAAAATCGGGTATATTTTTTCACATATAAAATTTGACTAAACAATCAGGAAAAAAATTGGGTTTTGAAAAAATAAAAACCCGACTTTATACAGAAAAAAACCTTAAAACAATGTGTACGACTATTTTCTGATGTACGACAGTTTTCTGGTGCTCTTTATATTCTGTTTTTATCATCAATGCAAAATTGGTATTACAGTAATACCTTTTATTAATAAAATCAACACCAAAATAAAACCACTCATTTGTAGTCATGAAAAATTTATTTTCTTATTCTCTTAACTTTATTAATACCAGAAATATAATTGTTATAACACATATACAGATGAATATAAACTTGAATCTGTCAACTAAAATTAATTCTTAATAAATAAAATATTTAGTTTTAATATCATTTTTAGTTCTGGTTTGATGCAACATTTATAATATAAAAAGTTGGCACATTTTTTGTTTGTTTTGCATATTATAAGTATCACACCGTTTGGTCATACAAATTAATTTTGATAGGTGTTTCCAAAATAATTGTTGGGGAAATGTGGGATTATAACGTATTAATTTATAAATGAAAATTGATATTTTGGTTATAAAATAGTAACTTAGGTAATTAGGATTAAGATTTTTAAAACCTCTGTTTAGAAATTAAAGTTTACATTTATTGTTTGACAAGTTTGATCAAATGGTATTTGCAGATAAATTAGAAACTTATAATAATAGTAAAGAGTAAGTTAAATAGAATAATATTCAAACTATCATTTATTATTTAGTTTTATATTACAATGGAATTTAAAAAAATAACGAAACACATGTTAAGTATTGTTTTATATATTTTCGTGTTTGTTTTGTTAAGTTAAAACAACCCATTTATTGCCTCATTGGAAAACGTTAGTGTTATTTTTTAAGTGCAAAGTTTGATTGATCAGCAGTATTTTATATTGTTGTGAATAAATGTTTTTCTTGACTTGAAACCTAAATATTCAAATAAATATTAAATACCCAAATGAAATACATTCAAATATTCTTTTTGTACTTCTTTCTTTTAAATAAGCTGTTATTTTTCCTCTTCACCTTAAAAAAAAGAAGTACAAAAAGAATATTTTAAAAGTGAGTTTTTAATAACTTTATTTTGGTTTAAAATAACAAAACATGGACCCACTTGATAAAGAGTGTGTATTTGTAATATTTTGGTTTGTTTTTGTGAATGCCAACTTTATAAAAAACAACAATTTTAATATATACTCTTGTAAATTAGACTTTATTAACAATTGAATTCGAAATGTTATTGCTACATTATCGGATAAATCTTAATAGTATTTCATATTGTTTGTTATTAGATTGAAATAACGTTATGAGTTATGATTTTTGTGGACAGTTTATTGTTGTATTTATTTTATTTATTTCACAACTTTTTTATATTTTATGCAGTCTGATTATTTTTTAATGGGTTTTTAACATTAAGAATTTTTTATTAACATAAATACAAAAGTCATAAATTAGTTCGAGTTATAGTTCAGTTTTTACTACATTAGAACTATAATTTTTACCATTTGACCCAATCTTGTCGTTTAAGTTAAAAATGCCACATATCTATAACTTATTTTATTATTTATTTTCAAGTTATATTTTATTATTTTAAAATATTTGTTTCCTTATATGAAAATAATAACGAACAATGTAATTGATCAATTATATCCAGTCAACTTTTCTTTTTCTTTTTTCCTTTAATCTTTCATTTTGTTTCCTTTTTGTTTTTTTCTGTTTCACATTTATAATATAATAATATTATAAAAAGAAGCGCTCATACCTCTATAATATGTTGTATTGATTATTATTCTTGCCGTATTAGCGCTATTAATTTGTTTTATTTATTGTTTTATTTTTATAGTCAATTTTTTATTTAAACAACAAAGAAAGACTCTTTTATTATTATAAAAGAGTCACTTTGGCCATGGCTATTTTACAGGATATATATTGTTCAATTACATTGGTTGCCGACCATATACAAGCCGGCGTCTATATGCATGATTACATTCTATGTGGTTAATAAATTATATGTTGAAACAAGTAGAAACAACCTGTGTCCATAATTATAATAATTTTATGACCAAATGGGGATGGGCGCCTTGTGCACTTTGGTAATAATAAAAGGTAAAAAGTGTGTGTTTTTGTCAAATAAATTTGTAGTTTTGTGACACCTTTTTTTGCTTTTGGTTGTGATAACTTTATGGTCTTAATATGTTGCACATATAATACATTAACTGTCGAACCCTTATCACTTATAACTACTGGACTTTTTCATTTTTGTGTGTTTTATAATAACACCATTGTTACTGTTAATTGTAAATTTGTATAATTTAATTCTGTGTATTTTTTAGAGAATGTACATACAGATTACAAGCTTTTGAAATAATAGCTTGAACAGTCCAGAAATTCCCCATTTTGGTCAAACACGATATTCTTATTCGATAAATTACAATGTAATCAACTTCTTCTAGCCATGTTCAATCAATGTGTTTAATTATCAAATTCTCGCTTTATATATTGTTTATTCATTCTATTTTTAAATTTTGTATGTATTATAAACTAAAAACACAATAATATATTAATACATTGTTGGAATACAAGCAAATTGGATCTTTTAATACAATCTATTAACTTCTTTAGACTAATATAATGTATTCAATGTATGTAATTCGTTTAATTATTGTTTAAAATAATAGCAAACAATTATTAAATTAGAATTGTGCTGTCTGTCCATATATTTAAAAATAATCGAAACAACGCTACTATATCTTTATTTTCTTTATCTGTTTATCAATTTTATATTTTTATTTAAATTAGAAAACCCAAGGTATTTTTTATTTTTAAATAAGAATTTAAAAAAATACCTATGGTTTTATTTTTAAATTAAACATTTTTTGTTTTATTCGGAATATATTTATATTAATGATATTATTGTTGTTGTAATTGAATTTAATATTTA